TTTTTTTTTTTTTTTTTTAGCACTAGAACCATTTCCCTAAATCACAACAGGAAAACAGCTATCTAAAGCTATAAGTATGTAACTCTGTAACTGTATACACATATATATTTATTTATAAAACAGGTAAGATTGGCATGTGGTTTCTCTGCTTGCCCTGCTCCCCTCCACTCCATTTTCAACACCTAGAGTGATCCCCTTAAAATAGGAAGTTGGAGCCTGTCACTCCTCTGTTCAAATGCTTTGGTGATTCCCCATTTTGCTCAGAGTAAGACATAGTCCTCAGGATGCCCAGCAGGGTCCTGTACCGCCTGACCCTGTTGTCCCCCTTTTCACGTCATCTCGCTCTTGGCCACCACACTGGCCTTCCGCTGCTCCCCGGACACGCCTGCAACACTATTAACTCAGGGCCTTTGCACTGGCTGTTCCTTCTGCCCAGAATGTTCTTCCCTCAGTCTCAGGCTTGCTCCATTGTTACCTGTGGGTCTTCTCTTGCCTTCAAAGAGGCTCCCTGATGGTTCTTTATAAAATGGCAACTGTGGCCTCCCATCCCCAGGACATTCTTTGTCAGGCCTATCTTGTTCTGATCTTTTTCTTCTGCATGGCACTTAACACCTTCTAACACTCAGTAATTGACTTATTTATTCTGTTTGATTATTGTCAGTCTTTCTTCTTACTCCCCCAAACAAGAAAACAAAAGTGCACAGGAACAAAGACTTTGTCTGTTTTGTTCATTGGTGGTACCCAAGCACTTAGAACAGCACTGGGAATATAGCAAGTGCTTAGTAAATATTTGTTGACTGACTGTGTAAGCGAATAGATACCTTGGATATGTTCGATATTTAATGTTGGCAGAAAATGAAGCCTTGTGGGAAGAACTGGCCTTTCAGCCCCAAGGAGCACACCCAGTTTGAAGCCCTCAGGGTTCAGAGCCCACCGAGGCTTTTTCCTGTGTGAGGTGGTGGTTTCTTGAACGCCTGTAGGGAACAAAGACTTACAGAGACACAGAATGGTGTAAACAGGGCTATGCTGGGCTGGTGAGAGAGAGGGTGGG